GAGAATGTACGCAATTACGACCATTTTCTCCTCTTTTCAGTCCCTTCAAACATGATACAAAGCAGCGAGCTAGGAACTTCTTTTTAGTTACCAAAACACTGTGCGGTCTTTTTAGTCTGTCTTGTATTATAACAGTGCTAGATATACGAACTTTGACCTCTCCGAGGCCGATCGCTGGGGCTCTCACATGGCCAGGCTGATCACCTGCTCTCCAGTTGACTTCTTCTGTCTTTTGCGTAGGCATTGACTGTCGGCTCTGACTGACTGACTGCCCGTCTGTCTTATTGGTCCTGTCCGAGGTGATTCGACTCTTGTGCGTAGCACCTGGTAGGCAAGATACGGGTGTGTGGCTTGGTTCAGTCTGCCATTCTGACCATCTCTTCATTGCCTCCGCCGATCACCCTCGCCTTCTTAAAGATGAAACTGTAGCCCCGCTGCAGTACGTGGACCAGGCCCTGAAAGAGTTTATACTCACGGTTAACTGCAATCTTGTGTCGAGGCTTTTGTTCATTTCACCAACAAACCTTGCATCACACTTCCCCTCCCCTCCAGTGATTGTTGTCGCCACAGTGTTTAATCGTACTGGAAGAGAGTCCTAACGCGGATGTGCTTGTGACCCACGGATGCTTGCTTCTGTAGTGGGGGCTGTGAGTTCGACTTTAATCACACACGCACTAAATTCACTCCCTCTAATAGAAGGAGTCATGGAGTTATGAGGAACGTTTTATTCGCTAAACAGAGCATGTCGTCTAGTGACGGCTGTTGGTTTGTGTGGCAGAACAAAGCGTCCGTTCGGGCGCGTCTGAACAGCGGCATGATCACAGCCATATCAAGTACACATAAGTACTTGCATAGTTTATTTATTTAATTACCATATAAATGTACAGGCCCGAAGAGAGTTTATCGAAGCAAATGTATGCTCGTCAATTTATCTTTTGGAATAAAGAAGTTTTGTTTACGCGCTTGTCTATGTCCGTGTCAATATGGGGAAGGGGGTGTCTGGTCTATGATTGGTTGATTCCAGGGCTCAGTCTGGGGACGCAAAATTACAAGGCCCATGGGTGACAAAGCAGGCCGGTCTACGCGCGAAGGTAACTCCAGGTATGCACGCAGACATGACTAAGTTCGGTGATGTTATCGCAAAGGAGTTAGGCTAAGCCGGTTGAACCCTAACTACTGCGATCTTCCAGGCCCGGTTCCTT